CATTGTCAAGGGTTGATAGATACAACTGATGTCCTTGTCAAGGGTTGATAGACACAACTGATGTCCTTGTCATGGGTTGATAGACAACACCGATATCCTTTGTCAATGGTTGATAGACTAAACTGATGTCATTGTCAATGGTTGATGACACAAGTGATGTCCTTGTCAATGGTTGATAGACGCAACTGTTATCCTTGTTAATGGTTGATAGACGCAACTGATGTCCTTGTCAAGCGTTGATAGACACAACTGATATCCTTGTCAATGGTTGATAGAGCCCGCAACTGATGTCCTTGTCAATGGTTGATAGACACAACTGATGTCCTTGTCATGGGTTGATAGACACAATTGATGTCCTTGTCAAGAGTTGATAGACACAAGTGATGTCCTTGTCAATGGTTGATAGACGCAACTGATGTCCTTGTCAAGAAGCGTTGATACACAACTGATATCCTTGTCAATGGTTGATAGACACAATTGATGTCCTTGTCAAGGAGTTGATAGACACAAATGATGTCATTGTCATGGGTTGATATAGACACAACTGATATCCTTGCCAAAGGTTGATAGACACCACTGATATCCTTGTCAAGGGTGGATAGACACAACTGATGTCATTGTCATGGGTTGATAGACACAACTGATATCATTGTCAAAGGTTGATGAGACACCACTGATGTCCTTGTCAAGGGTGGATGAACACGATTCATGTCCTTGTCAAGAGTTGATAGACAATACCTGATGTTCTTGGCAAGGTTGATAGACAATACCTGATATCCTTTGTGAATGGTTGATAGACTGAACTGATGTCGCTTGTCAATGGTTGATAGACACAAGTGATGTCCTTGTCAATGGTTGATAGACGCAACTGATATCCTTGTCAATGGTTGATAGACGCAACTGATGTCCTTGTCAATGGTTGATAGACACAACTGATGTCCTTGTCATGGGTTGATAGACACAATTGATGTCCTTGTCAAGAGTTGATAGACACAAGTGATGTCCTTGTCAATGGTTGATAGATCGCAACTGATGTCCTTGTCAAGCGTTGATACACCTAACTGATATCCTTGTCAATGGTTGATGAGACACAATTGATGTCCTTGTCAGAGTTGATAGACACAATGATGTCATTGTCATGGGTTGATAGACACAACTTATATCCTTGTCAAAGGTTGATAGACACCACTGATATCCTTGTCAAGGGTTGATAGACACAACTGATGTCATTGTCATGGGTTGATAGACACAACTGATATCCTTGTCAAAGGTTGATAGACACCACTGATGTCCTTGTCAATGGTTGATAGACACAACTGATGTCCTTGTCATGGGTTGATAGACACAATTGATGTCCTTGTCAAGAGTTGATAGACACAAGTGATGTCCTTGTCAATGGTTGATAGACACAACTGATATCCTTGTCAAAGGTTGATAGACACCACTGATGTCCTTGTCAAGGGTGGATAGACACGATTCATGTCCTTGTCAAGAGTTGATAGACACACCTGATGTTCTTGGCAAGGTTGATAGACATACCTGATATCCTTGTCAATGGTTGATAGACTGAACTGATGTCCATGTCAATGGTTGATAGACACAAGTGATGTCCTTGTCAATGGTTGATAGACGCAACTGATATCCTTGTCAATGGTTGATAGACGCAAGTGATGTCCTTGTCAAGCGTTGATACACACAATTGATGTCCTTGTCAAGAGTTGATAGACACAAATGATGTCATTGTCATGGGTTGATAGACACAACTGATATCCTTGTCAAAGGTTGATAGACACCACTGATATCCTTGTCAAGGGTGGATAGACACAATTCATGTCCTTGTCAAGAGTTGATAGACACACCTGATGTTCTTGGCAAGGTTGATAGACACAACTGATATCATTGTCAAGGGTTGATAGACACAACTGATATCATTGTCAAGGGTTGATAGATACAACTGATGTCCTTGTCAAGGGTTGATAGACACAACTGATATCATTGTCAAGGGTTGATAGATACAACTGATGTTCTTGGCAAGGTTGATAGACACAACTGATGTCCTTGTCATGGGTTGATAGACACAACTGATGTCCTTGTCAATGGTTGATAGACACAATTCATGTCCTTGTCAAGAGTTGATAGACACAACTGATGTCATTGTCAAGGGTTGATAGATACAACTGATGTCCTTGTCAAGGGTTGATAGACACAACTGATGTCCTTGTCATGGGTTGATAGACACACCTGATATCCTTGTCAATGGTTGATAGACTAAACTGATGTCATTGTCAATGGTTGATAGACACAAGTGATGTCCTTGTCAATGGTTGATAGACGCAACTGTTATCCTTGTTAATGGTTGATAGACGCAACTGATGTCCTTGTCAAGCGTTGATAGACACAACTGATATCCTTGTCAATGGTTGATAGACGCAACTGATGTCCTTGTCAATGGTTGATAGACACAACTGATGTCCTTGTCATGGGTTGATAGACACAATTGATGTCCTTGTCAAGAGTTGATATTAGACACAAGTGATGTCCTTGTCAATGGTTGATAGACGCAACTGATGTCCTTGTCAAGCGTTGATACACACAACTGATATCCTTGTCAATGGTTGATAGACACAATTGATGTCCTTGTCAAGAGTTGATAGACACAAATGATGTCATTGTCATGGGTTGATAGACACAACTGATATCCTTGCCAAAGGTTGATAGACACCACTGATATCCTTGTCAAGGGTGGATAGACACAACTGATGTCATTGTCATGGGTTGATAGACACAACTGATATCATTGTCAAAGGTTGATAGACACCACTGATGTCCTTGTCAAGGGTGGATAGACACGATTCATGTCCTTGTCAAGAGTTGATAGACACACCTGATGTTCTTGGCAAGGTTGATAGACACACCTGATATCCTTGTGAATGGTTGATAGACTGAACTGATGTCCTTGTCAATGGTTGATAGACACAAGTGATGTCCTTGTCAATGGTTGATAGACGCAACTGATATCCTTGTCAATGGTTGATAGACGCAACTGATGTCCTTGTCAATGGTTGATAGACACAACTGATGTCCTTGTCATGGGTTGATAGACACAATTGATGTCCTTGTCAAGAGTTGATAGACACAAGTGATGTCCTTGTCAATGGTTGATAGACGCAACTGATGTCCTTGTCAAGCGTTGATACACACAACTGATATCCTTGTCAATGGTTGATAGACACAATTGATGTCCTTGTCAAGAGTTGATAGACACAAATGATGTCATTGTCATGGGTTGATAGACACAACTTATATCCTTGTCAAAGGTTGATAGACACCACTGATATCCTTGTCAAGGGTTGATAGACACAACTGATGTCATTGTCATGGGTTGATAGACACAACTGATATCCTTGTCAAAGGTTGATAGACACCACTGATGTCCTTGTCAATGGTTGATAGACACAACTGATGTCCTTGTCATGGGTTGATAGACACAATTGATGTCCTTGTCAAGAGTTGATAGACACAAGTGATGTCCTTGTCAATGGTTGATAGACACAACTGATATCCTTGTCAAAGGTTGATAGACACCACTGATGTCCTTGTCAAGGGTGGATAGACACGATTCATGTCCTTGTCAAGAGTTGATAGACACACCTGATGTTCTTGGCAAGGTTGATAGACATACCTGATATCCTTGTCAATGGTTGATAGACTGAACTGATGTCCATGTCAATGGTTGATAGACACAAGTGATGTCCTTGTCAATGGTTGATAGACGCAACTGATATCCTTGTCAATGGTTGATAGACGCAAGTGATGTCCTTGTCAAGCGTTGATACACACAACTGATATCCTTGTCAATGGTTGATAGACACAATTGATGTCCTTGTCAAGAGTTGATAGACACAAATGATGTCATTGTCATGGGTTGATAGACACAACTGATATCCTTGTCAAGGTTGATAGATAAACACCACTGATATCCTTGTCAAGGTGGATGGATTTACACCTGATGTTCTTGGCAAGGTTGATAGACACAACTGATATCATTGTCAAGGGTTGATAGACGCAACAGATGTCCTTGTCAAGCGTTGATAGACACAACTGATATCCTTGTCAAGGGTTGATAGACACAATTGATGTCCTTGTCAAGAGTTGATAGACACAAATGATGTCATTGTCATGGGTTGATAGACACAACTGATATCATTGTCAAGGGTTGATAGATACAACTGATGTCCTTGTCAAGGTTGATAGACACAACTGATGTCCTTGTCATGGGTTGATAGACACAACTGATGTCCTTGTCAATGGTTGATAGACACAATTGATGTCCTTGTCAAGCGTTGATAGACACAACTGATGTCATTGTCAAGGGTTGATAGATACAACTGATGTCCTTGTCAAGGGTTGATAGACACAACTGATGTCCTTGTCATGGGTTGATAGACACACCTGATATCCTTGTCAATGGTTGATAGACTGAACTGATGTCATTGTCAATGGTTGATAGACACAAGTGATGTCCTTGTCATTGGTTGATAGACGCAACTGATATCCTTGTTAATGGTTGATAGACGCAACTGATGTCCTTGTCAAGCGTTGATAGACACAACTGATATCCTTGTCAATGGTTGATAGACGCAACTGATGTCCTTGTCAATGGTTGATAGACACAACTGATGTCCTTGTCAATGGTTGATAGACACAATTGATGTCCTTGTCAAGAGTTGATAGACACACCTGATGTTCTTGGCAAGGTTGATAGACACAACTGATATCATTGTCAAGGGTTGATAGACACAACTGATATCATTGTCAAGGGTTGATAGATACAACTGATGTCCTTGTCAAGGTTGATAGACACAACTGATGTCCTTGTCATGGGTTGATAGACACAACTGATGTCCTTGTCAAGGGTTGATAGACACAATTGATGTCCTTGTCAAGAGTTGATAGACACAACTGATGTCATTGTCAAGGGTTGATAGATACAACTGATGTCCTTGTCAAGGGTTGATAGACACAACTGATGTCCTTGTCATGGGTTGATAGACACACCTGATATCCTTGTCAATGGTGGATAGACTGAACTGATGTCATTGTTAATGGTTGATAGACACAAGTGATGTCCTTGTCAAGGGTTGATAGACGCAACTGATATCCTTGTTAATGGTTGATAGACGCAACTGATGTCCTTGTCAATTGTTGATAAATACAACTGATATCCTTGTCAATGGTTGATAGACGCAACTGATGTCCTTGTCAAGCGTTGATAGATACAACTGATGTCCTTCTCAAGGGTTGATAGACACAACTGATGTCCTTGACAAGGGTAGATAGACACAACTGATGTCCTTCTCAAGGGTTGATAGACACTAACTAATCTTCGTGTCAAGGGTTGATAGACACAACTGGTTCTCCTATTCAAGTGGCGATATGTACCCGACAGACGATCTAGGACGAGAGACATGGCCGCCCTTCCTAAGTTCAGTGTACGAGCCTCTTCCTGACTTATCCTTGACACCAGTCATCAGTTCTCCAGGGTAGCAGTCTGCTACAACAGGAATGTCGGGAGCCTCCTCCCTACCGGTGCCTTGGTTCTGGTCTGGTTCCACAATGTCCTCCTCTCTGATGTCCTCGTAGTGATGTAGCTCCAGGTAGTCGTGGATGGCGATGTCTGCCTGCTCCAGCTTAGCTTCCAGTTTCTGATCATCAACTTTATTCCTGTAACAATCCCATTTAAGGTTATTGGGATATGTTCTCTATGTACATGATTGAAGTATATTACACGATTACAACGTACGGGAGATTGATGGGGCAATGGACGATAGCTGAACGTAAGCTGATAAGTTACATTACTATGCTTTAGTCTGTGTACATATCAGATTCTACCTATTTGTCATAAGTGAGTGTGGATGGGTGAGGTTTACACCGCACTCAAAGTGATGCAGGAACCCTGTGTCGAACCCATGGGGAGCAGACTGTCAAACTGAGAATAACATTCAGGCAGAATGCCAACATAATCGGAATCTCACACGACCATGGGGCACAACTCTGCTCTGATGACTGTCAGACGTCATCGTGGTAGACCACTGAGTATACTGCTTGCTCAAAATCCTGTTGCGAATGTCAACTGACCGTGTGGGACACATTCCCTTTACGGTAGCAGATGTAGCCAGCGGTACATGCAGCCAGGAGGATGAAGACGACAAGCACAACCGATGTCACCGTGACGGCGTTGGAGGCATCAGACACAGGTTCCCCTGGAAGATGAATCAATAGTTATACTTACACATTTCACAGTTGTCTACGAAGCAATCACACCGCAAAACAGGGAATCAAGGTCGCATTAAAATCACCATAATTGTCTCCGTGATATTAATTACAGATGCAGCAAAGATGGTTGGGGTATTCCTAGTATTTATTGTTACGATCTTTGTTGTTGTAATCAATATCAACATTTAGAACAAAGTTCCATGACATGCGATTTGTGATCTTTGACATGCGTGACATGCAACATTTTTGAAAGGACTTGAACACATAGGCGGAAGAATACAGAACATCGTGAACATAACTATTTTACGTCTGTGTCACATGTACGAGATCTGGTACCTACGACTGAAGATGTGTACCTGGTTCACACGATCCAGACGGACAATCAGATGTTCGGCAGTTGTCGGTGCAGTTATCGCCGCACCTGGATCCAGTCGAGTTGCATCCCTGTACACAGACCCCGGATGTCACATCACAAACACCACCCGCACACCCGTCACACCCTGTGATACAAGATGTGTTACATGCTTCCTTGAGGCATTTCCCACATCCTACAACACACGCACCTGCCTGGTTACACCTCTGGTGTTGACAGTTAGGCTGCATCGCCGTGAACACTTGGGGCCATACCAGCCATCAACACAACCGTAGACACACTCGCCAGTCTGGCTGTGACACTCAGGTGGACATGAATCTCCATCTGGACATTGTCCACCCGTGGTCAGGGAGGGGTTAGGTCGACAGGTGTCACTGCATGCTTCAGTACAGTCGTCACCATAGAAACCTTGTCTGCATCCCTCTGTACAGCCACTCTCACATCCTCCGACACAGTTCTCGCATGAGTGTCTACACTCTACTCCTGAATAAGGAGGATGACACTCCTCACAGGTTCCTGTGATCCTGTTGCAGGACTTACATCTGCTGGAACATGTCTTACATCCTGCTCCGTAGTAGGAGTGGCTGCAACCAGAGAAACAAGCTCCAGCCACCTGACAATACTCCCCATCACATCCACCTGGGCACCTGGTACAGCCTACCTGGAGAGTGTCACATGGCCTCTGACAGGTGAGACCCTGGAATCCAGGTATACAACCATCAGTACATCTCCCAATACCTTTGTCAGGGAGCAGCTCACACGTGTGGTACCTGCACCTGCTGCTGCAATCATCCTGGCAGTTGGGGCCGAAATATCCTCTGTGGCACTTTGTACTGCATCGACCTGTCTGTTCATCACACTCAGTACAATGCTGGATGTCGGGACATTTAGCACCTGTGAATATAATCCCCAAATATATAACTGACAAATCTGAAACTTTATAGTGCTCATAAGTTCTACTTGTATACAGTTACCATCGTCTTGAGCAATACATCTGTACAATATGTGAGAGGATCATGGCGATCTTGCTTTATATGCCCACATGGTCATGAAATTAAATACTAGGATCCCAAAAAGACATTTCTCAATCCAGTGACATACAGTAGGTAACATGTACCACAGATCCTCAAATGAAGCAGTATCAATCAACGCATAAGCGAGAGATTACGAAGTGTTATGTCTGTAAAGTCCTGTGCATGTGTACATAGAACCAATAGCTAATACTTGTACTTGGACGTAACCATAATAACTGTAATGCATATGAACAGATTACATACCCAGCTTACAGTCTGCATTTGAAACATACACAACCACGCTGATATGAAGCCTTCCTGCCAGGAACCTATGTTTATGGCTTGGAATCCCAGCTTCTAGGTAAGAACAATGTTCATGGCTTTCGCCAAGATGGCACGCATCATAGATCAGACTTTGCTTCCATGATCAGATTTACACGTCGACTCATAACTGTTTGAAGTTGCATTAAACTAAACCCATTCACTAAACCCATTCACCTCACTCACTTAATTATGACACGATTTACTTGTATACCCACTCACTCATTCCTTACCTTGGGAGTAAATGACTATGTACGCCGTGACTACGAGTTGAAGGAATGGCATGGTGTACCTGAAACTTCAAGAGAACAGTTGACGAAAGTTCGGTTTTGTTCATGCACTGGAAGGCAGGACTCAACAAATAGTATCAACAACATCCGCAACTAAATTCGAAAAATGTACTTACTTTTGACTATACCTATAAAACATCCTCACTCGTTCGAACACGATATGCACAATGTGTTTGTTTGAAGGCCCGATACTGGATTGGCTGACACTAGTTTCACTGTTAGGGTCAGCAGCTTGTTTCGGCTTCCTGGTAATAAATGATAGTCATTGATAGAGCACCAAAACAATAGAGAGCAATGTCAAGGCGACCTGTATGATGTGTGTGTTTGTTACAGACTGTGCGAGTCGTCTCTTGGTCCCATGGTTGTGTGTAGCGGCAGGCTCTCCTTCCAGTTTCACCCATTTGGAGTTCATCTTTACAAACACAAAACGAAAGTACTTCATGGTTGGTTGAAGATGTCAAACCAATTATTAAGGGGAGAAACACATTTTCCCTCAACCAAAACAACAAATTTGAAGGATCACTAACATTCTCGCCATTACCTGAATATCATTATTGAGCTGTAATGTTAGCCTCAAGTAAGTAAATGATATTTCTCTGGGTAGTCAGCCATCGCTGTGCTACACTACCAGGGTCTCACTCTCTCTGCTGTGGGTAGTTGGGATCAACGCTGTGCTACACTACTAGGGACTCACTCACTCTGCGGTGGGTAGTTGCGATCAACGCTGTACTTTCAATTCCCTGTTATGACATCTGGTAGCACGGCGGAGGAAGGACATGCCTACGCCAATATACACAAACATAACGTTAATTCCCGGTTATATTGTGGAAAATCAAATTGGGAATAGGTTTGCAACAACCACGACAGATTGAATCACACTCGACATTATACAGTTCAATGTTTCACACACACGCACGAATTCCTTGTTTTATTCCATTATATTCTTACCTATGTATGCCCCGTGCGATTTAAGTGCTGCTTATTGATGTCACATGAGTTAGAAGGAACGTATTGTATAAAATTATCATGGTTTCTCTTTCGGTGTCAAGTTCTTTTTCCGGATAAATATACAGCAGGGTGTTTAGGAAACGAACTAAGCATTATTTCTGATTCCTGACGCGGTTCCGCAGCAGGATTTATACCTGTCGCTGTTATCGATTATACTCAACTGTAGGCATTGACCTAAACTTTACAAATATACTCTCCCCAAAAAGAAACGGATATAGGAATTTTAACTGTATTTTTATGTTTATTTTGAAACATCTTGAAGGCTTTATGAGTCAATGAACTATAGCGAAATTGCACACTGGGAATGCAGACTTATCCGTCGTTGGCACCAACTCGAGGAAAGTCAGTTTGAGTGTCACACGGAGACGTGTGGTGGCGCTGAAGTCAATACCTAGTGTGATCACCGTGGGCATCCAGAACTGCACGGCATCGCCTCGGCATCGAACGAATATAAGTCCCAGAATCTTGTGTTGCCAAATCGCAGCCCACTCAGCCTGTAATGCCTGTGTAGTTGCTGAAGTGTCTGGGGCTGAGGGTTACGGCGTCGCATCCGTCTGTCCAGGGCATATCCCACAGATGTTCGACCGGGTTTCAGTCCGGTGATCTTGAGGACCAGGGGAGCACATTGATGTTGTGGTTCTGGGGGAAGTCTCCAGTGTGACGTGCTGTGTGGGGCCTGGCATTGTACTGTTGAAACAACTCCCTCTGGCGATCAATGATTGGAAGGAGGTGTGGGCGTAGGATTTCGTCACAGTACCGTTGAGCTGTCAGGTTGCCCTGGATCATCACCAAATCACTTCTCCTACGGCAGGTGATCGTTCCTAACATCATAACCCAGCCCCGGTGGAATCTGTCTACCTGGGGAACGCAAGCGTCGGTCTCGTCGACGTCTGTACACCCGCATTCTTCCATCGCGTCGTTCCAATAGAAATCGTGATTCATCACTGAACCAGATTCTACGCCAATTCGGTAGGTTTCAGGCCTGAACGTTGGTGCACCATTGAATGTTGTTGTCGAAGCACAGGGCCAAAATAAGGTCTTCTGGCACGTAAACCAGCCTCTCAACCTGTTCCTGACGGTCTGTGCAGAAAGCCTCCTCAATCCGGGTATTTGTGGAGCGGTACTGGTCGCCGTAGCTGTTCGATGACGCAGGTGATGTATCCGGATGTAGCGATCCTGCGCCGCAGTGGTCGCTCGAGGCCGCCCATTACGAAGGGCATCTGCTACCGAATTCCGCCGGCGATATCTCTCCCAGAACCGTGAAATGGTGCTTTGGGGAACATTCATGCGTCTGGCAGCTGCGCGTTGAGACAAGCAAACCAATGGCGATATGACGGTTGGCTTTACTTAGACGTGGCATTTTGCGTTCGTCAACAATATTCCAAATACAGTGAATAATCGACAGACACCGATCAACCTCTAATACCCATCATTGAGACTATCTGATCCCCAACTTTCACGTGCATTGCATGTGAATTGTGTATTCTGTGACACTACACGCCGAAATTGAAAATCATGCTGTTAAATACGGGTATTTTACGGATGGTGCGTTTTGTTGTGATGTTTCAAAACATAACACCATATGACTCATAAATAGAGCAAAACCTTGTGTAAAATAAATCACGTTTTAATTCATTGCACTCAGTACAATGCTGGTTGTTGGGGCATTTAGCACCTGTAGATGAATATACCTTATAAACAATGAAAGTTCTTTGCTATAAAATGATCGGTCAGTAATTTATTTCAAAACACATGATCACTTGATTCATTTTTACCATGCTGCGGCGCGTGTGTATCTCTGAAAGGTCTTACGACAGCTCGAAATGTTACTACCAAAAATAGGAAATGGTCGGTTTGACAAGTACAGTGACGCGGTATCAAGTGAAGATCTTTACATGGGTGATATCAAAAGTCATCGATCTACTCGACAATGACAACTGATCTGCTATATTTCCACAGAGTGGCGTACTTTAGAAACGTTTCTTTTATCAGTATTTAACCACATCTAACAAAATACAAGGATCGGTTAAAGCCACTATTGTGTGGATCCTGGTATCATAATTGTCAAACAATGAACTATGGATTTGAATGTTGACTATAGAATGTTAACTGAATGTATGTTGCTTTCACCTATATTTAATAAACATTCCTGTTTTGCCTGAGATCATCTCTGCTTGTATTTTCAGGCGTGGAGATCCAGAAGCTAGTTCCCCGAAATAATTCTAGGTTTGAACGGTCACACAGCAAGACAAAGGAGCTGAGACAGATGTTAGCGTAAGCTCAACCGGTACAAGTTGGGCACACCTAACCGACAGGCTGTGTTACCAACAAACATCGTCAACTAGTATCATTTTTAACAACTCATTACAATTCTGATGCCAGCATGTTTACGACCCCATGATAATGTCTGATCTGTTCTGTCACAAACAAATACGTTACACATCTGCTCACATGTTGAGGTGATAATCACGTGTGCAATCACCAAGATCCTCACAGGCCACATTGCCTTCCTGAAACTGAAACGAACTGAACTCAAACAACATTATATGTCCAGTTAGTGGATGCAGTTCCATCAAACCTTGACTTTCATCTCCATATCTCATACATACAATGATATAATGATCAAAACTTGAACAGACACGTGTAATATCAATGTCGTCAAAGATCTTTAATGCAACAATTGATCTAACTAACCAATGTTCCGTTACAAGATATTCCCACATGATAATCTTCAGCAGATCTGTGATTCAACGGTGAAAATATGGCGAGTGTATTGGGGGTCGGTGTTTAGAATATATTATTAGATTTTACATTGAATTTATGTCACAAAACGACAAGGAAGTTTTACTCTTAGATAGGGAACGAGTGTGACGTTTTGTGCCATATCTATCATGAAACTGAAAATGTCTGTTTGTAATGATCGTGCTTCATCAAATTGTGCATTTGTATCATAGGGCCAAAGTCATGGTAATAACAATAATAACTTCACGTATTTCCTGGTAATGCACCTTTTTTAATACCCCATAAATTTGTACTCCTAATTTAGATTTATGTATCAAGGCACAGGCAAACTGTAGGGCAAATAGTGTTGAGCAACAGAGAGAAAAATGCCACGAGTGCCTCTTAAAATGTTGAATTGAATATACTTTACCTGAGTAACTATCAAATATAAGTTTTGAAACCTTGGAGCACAACTCTGCGTGGAAATGGGTGTTTACCTTGGATGGTGGCGATAGTTTTTTTTGTCACTAAAAATATTTTTCGAAAGCCAAGGAAGACATTTTTTCACTTTTCTCTCTGTTGCGCAATCCTATTTGCGCTATAATTTGCCTGTGGTCAAGGTCACTCTACAATATGTTATTACATACATGTTCATGCCGTGAATTACTGGGTTGTCTTTATCTAACTTGACTGTTTACAGACAATACTCACACATAGGTGGAACATTGACGATGTTGTCTTTGAACAACAAGCCGATGTCTCTCAAGTTGGCCTTGGACTCACCTTGCCGATGAAAGAATGAACAAAGCTTCTACACATGGAAAGCTATGGGATATATAACCTGCACATCTGTACAACAAAGGAACTCCACACCACTGATGTTCCAAAACACGCGTGAATTGAAAGAAAATGTTTTCTTTTGGAACAAATCGCATCTTTAAAGGAAATATACACCACCATTGACAGTAAGTCTGTTTCTGCAAGCACCATGTGACTGTAACCTGGGCCAGGCTACGCTGACAACTTCGCTGATATCTGGCATTGTCTTTGGCAGTGACTCGTGCTGATGATGTGGTCCAGATCGTACAATGGACGTTCGTAAACATTAATATGGTATAAAAATGAAGACCATTCGTCAAGGAACATAGAATCCAGTATCAGATCTCATTACAACCGTTTAAAGTACTTGTCCAACAGTCAGGAAATTTCTCTGTTTGAATGAAAAACATTTGACTAGGCCTTGATGGGGAAACCTTGAAAGAAGGAAGATAAAACTGGGTCTTTCCAGATATTTGAATGTACTTTATAGAAACTGAGCTTGGGGTGATGGAACAGAGGTTGTCATTATTTCCAGCTTCTACACATGGGAAGCTATAGGATATATAACCTGCACATGTGTACAACAAAGGGTCTCCACAGGAACATATCGGTACCACAGGTACATATCGGTACGACAGGAACATATCGGTACAACAGGAGACCCAGAGTCACACAAGAAGAAACTACACACCTTTTCCTCAGCATTACGAAACCTCTACAGTGTATAATTCCGGCTAAATGATAAGCAAGTGTTTATGAATCACATGATACCAGTGTTAGCCTGCCCACCCGTTCTACCCGAAGTAAAACATGCAAAGGCCAGTCGGTTGTTCTACTGCATTTGTCAACTGACTTTTGACTCCACATCTCTTCAAGGGCGTGTCACGATGCCTAGTGTCAAATCCGACAGATTTCGATATTATCCTGCCAACAGTAAAACGGTGATTACAGAAAACATCACAAATCATGTTATTATATTTTTGGCATTAAAATGACATGTCATAAACTAATGCACAGTTACTTTATTCTAGCAGCATACATATACAGCAGCATGACCCCACAGCCCCATAGATGTACACCATCGAGACCCCACAGTCCAATAGATGTACAACATCGAGACCCCACAGTCCAATAGATGTACAACATCGAGACCCCACAATCCAATAGATGTACAACATCGAGACCCCACAATCCAATAGATGTACAACATCGAGACCCCACAGTCCAATAGATGTACAACATCGAGACCCCACAGGGAAATATTTGTACAACATCGAGACCCCACAGTCCAATACATGTACAACATCGAGACCCCACAGGGAAATATTTGTACAACATCGAGACCCCACAGTCCAATACATGTACAACATCGAGACCCCACAGGGAAATATTTGTACAACATCGAGACCCCACAGGGAAATATTTGTACAACATCGAGACCGCACAGGAAAATATTTGTACAACATCGAGACCCCACAGGAAAATATTTGAACAACATCGAGACCCCACAGAGAAATATTTGTACAACATCGACACCCCACAGGGAGGATTTTGTGCACTGTCGCGAGTCACTAGTGACCAGATCTCCGCCAGTCAGTCAGTGTCCTGGCATGTTCTGGTACAGTATACAAAACCCAACGACTTACCACTGGCTTAGTCGAGTTCTGGGTGAATAGACACCGCGCGATTAGCAATGAAAGAGCTTAGGTGACACTTGGTGAGTGAATCAACTTGTCATAGTGGGCAATACTATTCACATACTTGTTGTGGGTGAATAGTATTTCAAGATCTGTCATATAGACCGTTATGTCTCCCACTCGATCGCCTCCATGGTGTACTGCATAGCAAGTAGTCTATGGTTTGATCCATTGGCCCCAGCCTACTACAGTCCGTTTGATTTCATTTGAGACCGATCAATTGCTCACAAACAACAAAATCTAACATCTGCAACAAAACCAAATTTCGCACAGTCACATGAAATCGACAGACCAACTCTGACGATTTGCCTTATAAGTTTGGACACCGGAAAAAATGGTGGTTTAACAAACAATCATTATTTTGTAGTAACTTTTGCCATTTTGTACGAAGGGGGACCACTTGCTGGTAGAACACCCAGGTAATCAAGCGTGTGTAGTGAAAGATACATACACAGACACACACACACACACACACACACACACACACACACACACACACACACACACACACACACACACACACACACACACACACACACAGACACACAGACAGACACACATGCGCGCGCGCACGCACACAAACATGCAGTCACAATTTTTCATGCTGATTTAATCACATCCGCGTTGATTCCGACCCAATGAGAGGGTGGTGGTTCAGGGGTGTTTCTGGGTGACCGGGCTGACATTGTGTTAACGTATTACACCAACCCAACAAACACATCACGACAGATACGTACCACAGATACGTCGTGATCATCAAACACGCCTGTGTTAGGTGGGGCTACAAACTCCGCCCTCCATTCAAAGCATTTTGTAGGAGAGCGTACAAGAGTGTGCAGGTATGTGCAAATGTGTGCCAATGACATGCCACATCACTATACAGATAGCTGGCGATTTGGCGGGAAGCACCTCGTTATGAAAGGAAATCCGGAGGCCCGGTACAGCCTGTCTATTAATACTCTTACATTGTAGTGTGTACATTCACATTGTCAAACGTTCATGAATGTCTCTGTACAGTGTGTGTGGATATGTCACAAGCAGTATTAATCCCTATGCGGGGATCACAAATAATGTGTGCATTCGTCGTGCTCGAGGAAATGAGTGTAGAGATCTTTAGAGGGGCTTAAAAACCATAGAACAAACTCACAACAGAATCAAGGTCTTATGTAACTGTCAAACCTCACACGACACAGGGTTGATCTTAAGCATGATATTTCACTAAACAGAAAGCCAGAAATTACTGGTCTACAGTTACTGTCTAAAGTCAAGCAGTTGTTACATAAAGAACAGTCAGAGATTGAGCATGGTTTTACACCGCTTGTATCTATGTCCTGGCTTCACGCGGGGACTCGAACCCCGGCCTTCATTGTGAAGAGCGAACGACTTAACCACCAGGTTGTCTTGCTGTCCGGCTGATTTTGGACATCGAGAGACCGGGGTGTTGACCACACCATGTCAGCTTTCTGCAGTTTCTAACCTGACAGTTGTTTCATCAACAGCGGGATGACTACTGTACTTTCACAAACAACTACACGTCTGTGTAGGACGACGCCTGTGTCAGCTCACATGCCCAAACTGTGACTGGACATGACGGTGATTGGCGGGGAACAGGCCCGTTTCCTGCCGCTCATGTATTTGTTATACGCTTGTATGTGTCAGTAAAAAATGAGGTTTTCACATATGTTAAGTAAGTTACACTTGTGTATTCAGCCATATGACACAGACGAAAGACGAACATGTATTGCAAATGGTTTTATTTTACTGTTTCATTTTTCATCTCACTCCTGAAACAGAATCCCTGTGTGCCATTGGCCAAACGTGTGACACTCGAAAAACAAGGAAGGTAGAGAAGCTAGGATACGCTAACCTCCGCGGTCGATCTTGAGAATGCCTAGAAAGGTCATCTTGATTTCAAAAGAGTGGTGGGAAGACGTTTAGACATATCCCACAGAGATTTAATACCTGTTCAAAATAGAAGGTCATGCGGTAAAGCTAAATTAGATCTGAACTCAAGGCCACTCATCACATTCTTTGTGAGGGGACCCTACCTGTGTTACTTAACTACATAAACATACTTTACCAGAGGGAATTTATCTACCAGAAAGCATTCAGAAATAAGAATTGCACCGGTTTTTACCGCATCAAAAGTCACAAGTGATACAACGAAAATCACACACTGTATCCGCGGCAGTTCAGTAGCAAGACGTACATGCAAAAAACACCAACTACAATGTTTTACATTTTGGTGCAGGTACACTGGATCTAAGAAATAAAACACAGTGAACACATGTACAGCCAGTGCAAGTAAACTAGAGACCATCTGCATCCGGGAACGGGTGCAAAGTCGCTCTTTAATATATGTCTGACATGACATTGTGTCAATATCCGAGGCTTGCCGAGGATATTTGTACTTTTATCAAGGAGTGTTGATATATTTGATATCAGAAGACACGAGGGTGAGATTCTATTTATCATCAAAATCACTCTTCATTAGTTTTTAATTAAAAATGTACATCTCTGAACACAGTACTGCCATTAGATTTGCAGTGCAGCGATGTCATAGCATTGTGGCGTCATCAAGTCCATGACGCCATATCATTGTCAGGGCATTGCACTGTCAAAACGAAATCAGTTTTTGATGATAAATCGAGTTACACAATTGTCCAGGTGACATGCGTCATACCTAAAACAGCGACAGTATTCGATCATGTTTCTTTGTTCGTGCAATGTCTGCTGCTGTTGCGCCATTTTTGTTTACATCCTTGACGTCTACACCCGGCAGCGGGAGGAGGTACTGCACCATCTGCACATTGCATTCCTCATCCCCTCCAGCACAAGCGACGTGGAGGATGCTGTGACCGTCATCATCAACAACAGTTAAATCACAACCTTCCTGTAGAAGGAGATCCAACACGTCTATGTGACCTCCCTCTGCTGCCACCATGGCTGCTGTCTTCCCGTAGCGGCCTCTGCTGTTGATGTCAATAGACGTGTCCATCAGGACCTTCTCCACAATGTCCTTGTTTCCTCCACTAGAAGCCAGATGCAGTATGTTGTTATTGTAATCATCCACCAGCTTCATGTCGCCCCCTTCTTTTAAAAGTAAGTCAAATATAACTTTACAACCGCGGTTGGCTGCCACCATTAATGGCGTCCTTCCCTCTCGCCCAGCACTGTTGATGTTGAAAAGGTGTTTGAAGAGCAGATAGTTGACAATGCTCACATTATCTCGGATGCAGGCCAGTTGGAGCATATTATCACCATAACTGTCCACGAGTAGAAGACGTGCATGTTCTCTCGTGAGTAGGTCCAACACGGGTCTGTTTCCCTGACGTGCCGCCAACATGGCTGGTGTCTGTCCTCGGCGGTCTCTCGTGTCGATGTCAACAAGTTCAAGTTTCAGGAGTTCATTCACCATCTTCACATTGTTTCCTAAGCAGGCCAGATGTAGGATGTTCATTCCATCAGCATCAACGTGTGAAACATCGCCCCCTTTACACACTGTGAAGTAGAAGACGTCAATGTTGTCAAACTCAGCCGCCATCATCATGGGAGTGCGGCCATGTTTTCCTTTACAGTTGATATCAAAATACCCTTCAGAGACAATATACTTCACCATCTCTGTGTGTCCTCCCATACACGCCACGTGGAGGATGTTGTCGTCATCCTCATCCAATACAAACACATCACACTGTTTTGTCAACAGGTACTTGAACACTTCTATATTGCCATTCTCAGCTGCCATCATCATGGCAGTTCGCCCTTTGTATTTCCCCCTTTTGTTGACGTCAAAGTTGAACCTTGAGAGTACATATTCCACCATATCCACATGACCCCACGACAGGCTGCATGGAACACAGTATCTTCTTCATCATCATCAAGAGACAAATCGCATCCTTCACCCATAAGAAAATCGAAAACATCCTTACGGCCACTCTCTGCCGCAAGGATCAACATCCTCCTATCATTCAGTCCTTCCGTAACATCCAGTGAAGCGATGTGCATTATCATTGGTAGATCCCCTCCCACACAGGCAACATAAATAAGCTTGTTCCCAAAGCTGTCTCTAATGGTGATGTCCCCTCCTTTACGCCTGACGACCTCAAAGGCCTCCTTGTGCCCTGTCTCGGCTGCCGCCATCAGAGGAGTCCTCCCCTTTCTGTCCGTGCCATGGATGAGGGCCCTGCGCTGGTTTCTGTCACATGTGTGCTGCACCATACTCCCGTTACCGCCCCTGCACACCACATGGAGGATGTTGTTGCCATCAACGTCTTCCAGAGATCTGTCTCCTCCGTCTCGTAAGAGTAAGTTGTACACCTCTTTGTGTCCATACTCTGCAGCAACCATCAAGGGCGTTCTTCCATCATTCCTCCTACTGTTGATGCCCACAATGCGTTTTGAGAGGATATGCTGTACAATGTGTACCTTTCCTCCAGCACAGGCCACGTGGAGGATGTTCATCCCCTTGTCATCCAGCAGCGACGTCTGGCCTCCTTTCTCTATGATCAGGTCGAAAATCCGTTTGGAACCCGTCCACGCTGCCTTCATTAGCGGTGTCCTGCCCAAGTTCCCTCTACAGTTGATATTGAATATCCGACGTGAGAGCAGATCTTCAGCAATAAACAGATGGCCTTTAAGACATGCCAGGTGGAGAAGGTTGTCACCGTCATCTCCAACAAGTCTCATGTCGCAGTGTTTGTTGTTTACAAGTTCCAAGTAGACGTGTTTGCACCCATGACGTGCTGCCAACATCACCGGCGTCAATCTGCTTTTGCCTTTTACATTGATGTCAATAGTTCCTTCAGAGAGAATCAACCTGACTATTTTGAGATTATTTCTGACGCAAGCAATATGCAGAATGGTGTTATTGTCTTCATCCACTGCCGACAGATCGGCTCCCTTCCGGCGGAGTAGCTTAAACACGTCCACGTGCTGGCCATCTGCTGCTGCCATCACTGGTGTCCTGCCGTTTGACCACCGGGTGTTGATGTCAACTCCATCTCGCCGTAAGATGCGAGTGACTTCATCCACGCTCCCCGAGCAGCAGGCACCGTACAGATCCGCGTTGTTGGTGGTACAGGACATCCTGACAGAGACATAGGCAGTGATTACTACGTCTGTCAAACACACTACACTCTGGACTCAAGTCCTTCTATGAGTTTCTAATGCTGTGGTATTGATGCAATATTCTATCATAAAACACCATACACAATGTAAATCTATATACAATGTCATGTATCTACATTTCGTTCTGTGGTAAATATCCATAATATTGTGTCATGATGACCTTCAGAGTTACCTGTTGTCCTGCTTTGTTTGTAGAATCAATCGACTTTTCTCTATTAATCTCAGTTAATCCTAAGAATTGCTTACCTCTCTGTCTCACCTGCTTGCCTTGATCAGGCGGCTCGGCGGGGTCAGTAGCGCCTACTGAACGTATAATCGCAGTAAACAGACAACATGTATGTAATATCCTGATAGCTTGCATTATTAAACTGTGAATGTACGTGGTCGACCGACAATGAATAGTTCTTTGGCGTCAGCAAGTTGTCAATGAATGATGTTACTGCATGTAGACATTCGTTACTGCACCCTGTCCTTCTGGACTGCATTCGAGCAGTGACGATGTATGCACCTATTTGTTCATGTACCAATCCTTCACTCCGAAGTATTGTTAATTAATAATTAACTCATTCCAAAGTTTTGTCATTCATCTGAAACCAAACACTCCGTCACATTCGTCCTTATCTATTTTTGTCGTACGAGTTGACTAACAGGACGTGGTCAGGCTCGCTGACTGGGTTGATGCATGTAATTATATCCCAGACCGTTTATAGATCGATGCTCATGATGTCAATCACTTGATTGTCTGTTTCAAACTGGGATATTTAAAGACCCCCGATGGGAAATATTCTTTGTCCGGGGTTAAATAAAGTTTTGAATGAAATACATTTGTGAAATGATTGAGACAATAAAGTTTGATATTTGCCCGGTGTAGATGTATTTGCCCATGTGGGTGTAGATGTGGTACATGAGGGAGTAGATGTGGTCCATGTGGGTGTAGATGTGGTCCAGGTAGGTGTAGATGTGGTCCATGTAGGTGTAGATGTGGTCCAAGTGGGTGTAGATGTGGTCCATGTGGGTGTAGATGTGGCCTTTGTTGGTGCAGATGTGGTCCATGTGGGTGTAGATGTGGTCAATGTAGGTGTAGATGTGGTCCATGTGGGTGAAGATGTGGTCCATGTGGGTGTAGATGTGGTCCATGTGGGTGTAGATGTGGTCCATGTGGGTGTAGATGTGGTCCAAGTGGGTGTAGATGTGGTCCATGTAGGTGTAGATGTGGTCCATGTCGGTGTAGATGTGGTCCATGTGGGTGTAGATGTGGTCCATGTAGGTGTAGATGTGGTCAATGTTAGTGTAGATGTGGTCCATGTGGGTGGAGATGTGGTCTATGTGGGTGAAGATGTGGTCCGTGTGGGTGTAGATGTGGTCCATGTAGGTGTAGATGTGGTCCATATCGGTGTTGATGTGGTCCATGTAGGTGTAGATGTCGCCTTTGTAGCAGTAGATGTGGCCTTTGTAGCAGTAGATGTGGCCTTAGTCAGCGTAGACGTGGTCCATGTGGGTGTAGATGTGGTCCATGTCGGAGTAGATGTGGTCCATTTGTGGTATAGATGTGGTCTTAGTCGGTGTACATGTGGTCTATGTAGGTGCAGATGTGGTCCATGTGGGTGTAGATGTGGTCCATGTGGGAGGAAATGTGGTCTATGTGGGTGTAGATGTGGTCCATGTGGGTGTAGATGTGGTCCATGTGGGAGGAAATGTGGTCTATGTGGGTGTAGATGTGGTCCATGTGGGTGAAAATATGGTCCATGCCGGTGGAGATGTGGTCCACGTGGGTGAAGATGTGGTCCATGTAGGTGTAGATGTGGTCCATGAGGGTGTAGATGTGGTCCACGTGGTTGAAGATGTGGCCCATGTAGGTGTAGATGTGGTCCATGTGGGTGTAGATGTGGTCCATGTGGGTGGAGATGTGGTCTATGTGGGTGAAGATGTGGTCCGTGTGGGTGTAGATGTGGTCCATGTAGGTGTGGATGTGGGTCCTTATGTGTGGTATGTGGTCCATGTAGCAGTAGATGTGGCCTTAGTCAGCGTAGATGTGGTCCATGTTGGTGTAGATGTTGCCTTAGTAGCAGTAGATGTATGGCCCATGTAGGTGAAGATGTGGTCCATGTAGGTGTAGATGTGGTCCATGTAGGTGTTGAAGTGGTCCATGTAGGTGTAGATGAGGCCTTAGTAGCAGTAGGTATGGCCCATGTAGGTGTAGATGTGGTCCATGTAGGTGAAGATGTGGCCTTTGTAGCAGTAGATGTGGTCCATGTAGGTGTTGATGTGGTCCATGTAGGTGTAGAAGTGGTCCATGTCGGCGTAGGTGTGGTCCATGTGGGTGTAGATGTGGTCCATGTCGGAGTTGAAGTGGTCCATGTAGGTGTAGATGAGGCCTTTGTAGCAGTAGATGTGGCCCATGTCAGTGTAGATGTGGTCCATGTGGGTGTAGATGTGGTCCATGTGGGTGTAGATGTGGTCCATGTGGGTGTAGATGTGGTCCATGTGGGTGTAGATGTGGTCCATGTGGGTGTAGATGTGGTCCATGTGGGTGTAGATGTGGTCCATGTAGGTGTAGATGTGGTCCATGTGGGTGTAGATGTGGTCCATGTGGGTGTAGATGTGGTCCATGTCGGAGTAGAAGTGGTCCATGTAGGTGTAGATGAGGCCTTTGTAGCAGTAGATGTGGCCCATGTCAGTGTAGATGTGGTCCATGTGGGTGTAGATGTGGTCCATGTGGGTGTAGATGTGGTCCATGTCGGAGTAGAAGTGGTCCATGTAGGTGTAGATGAGGCCTTTGTAGCAGTAGATGTGGTCCATGTAGGTGTAGGTGTGGTCCATGTTGGTGTAGACGTGGTCCATGTAGGTGTAGATGTGGTCCATGAGGGTGTAGATGTGGTCCACGTGGTTGAAGATGTGGTCCATGTCGGAGTAGAAGTGGTCCATGTAGGTGTAGATGAGGCCTTTGTAGCAGTAGATGTGGCCCATGTCAGTGTAGATGTGGTCCATGTGGTTGTAGATGTGGTCTATGTGAGTGTAGATGTGGTCCATGTGGGTGTAGATGTGGTCCATGTGGGTGTAGATGTGGCCCAGGTGGGTGTAGATGTGGTCCATGTGGGTGTAGATGTGATCAATGTGGGTGTAGATTTGGTCAATGTGAGTGTAGATGTGGTCTATGTGGGTATAGATGTGGTCCATGTAGGTGTAGGTGTGGTCCATGTTGGTGTAGGTGTGGTCCATGTGGGTGTAGACGTGGTCCATGTCGGTGTAGATGTACTTCTGTAGTTGTACCTAAACCAAAGTGCATCTGTCACGTTCAAGTCGGGCATGACAATTCCTCAATGAACGTGCAACTCAATGGAATGACTGATGCATTGATGCAATATGAGGTATGTACTTTATGATAGCAATTGCGCTCTGAACAGAGACAAATCTTCACTGCTTTTTGTCCACCTTGGAAAGGTTTGACAATATTCACGCGCCGACAAGTTACATTAAATACGTTAAGGACGTTATATAGAAATGTCTCCATGCCTTATTTGTTCCCGAAAGTACTGTACAAGAGCCACTTCGCCACGACATGTCCCCCAGTATGTGTTTGTCTGTTGAAATAACAAATGCTGCTTAACTGTGAGGGAAAGTCTTCTGAAGAAAAGAACTTACACTGGTGCCCGAGCAAGTCAGTACTTGTGTATATCGACCTCAGTCCTGTACGTCCTGAATCAAGGGTGGCAAATCATCGATTACAGATTACAAATCACTAACAAATACGCAAACACTATTACAACCGACCCGCTCCACGTGAAGCTTTTCACGTGTGACGGCCAAACAGCAGGCGCTTTATACTCACTTCAAAAACTCACGTTACGCTTTGTCATTGGTTTTCCGGTCGAGCTGGTGGCTGAATAATTCCGAGTGTTATTTTTGTTTATTGAACACACAAAGATAAGAAGCAGGACGCAATGCATGATTCCATAAAATACGGACCTCAGTAATCCAAATGTTGTGAACAGAGTTGGTTCGACTCAGTCACGTGTTTGTCAGAGCGTCGTTGTACCGGAAGTGTTGATCTTAATATCAATCACTGGATTGTCGGGTCCTATTCCTGGCAGTACAGACTGGTATTAGGAATACACAACGCCTTTCTGAAAGTGGTTGGACGCAACATCATGTTAATAATATATTTTCTATTATACTTTCTTGGTAAAGTACAAGTCGTAGTACTATGTGGGTGCCATGCCATGTAGACGCCGCCACGAAGATGGGATACCGCCATAACATGACCGTCGAATATAAAACAGATTTTATCAAACTGTATCCAGTATTAGCTCATTGTATGTGTAGACGCTATGCGTCCAGTGGAGGATTGGAGGATAAAATCTATTTATATGTTGCGTTTGTAAGAAATATGGAATGGATAGTATTACCATATACGTCATAACAGCAGCTACATTAATATATTTAACGTTGTTAACTTGGTTAAATAGGAGTGGTGAGAGCGGGGAGAGAGAGAGAGAGAGAGGAGAGAGAGAGAGAGAGAGAGAGAGAGAGAGAGAGAGAGAGAGAGAGGAGAGAGAGAGGGGGGAGAGAGAGAGGGAGAGAGAGAGGGAGAGAGAGGGGAGGGAGGTAGAGAGAAAAGTTTTTGTCAGAGAGAGCATGTGTATACGTGTGAGAGAGTGAGTGTGTGTATACGTGTGCTAGAGACTGTATGTACGTGCGAGACAGAGTGTACGTATTGGGGAGGGTGTATACGTGTGAGAGAGTGTGTGTATACGTGGTAGAGACTGTATGTACGTGCGAGAGAAAGTGTGTGTGTACGTATGGGGGGAGGGTGCATATGTGTGAGAGAGTGTGTGTATACGTGTGTTTGTTAAGCCCTGTGCCGGCCATTCACAACTGTGCGCGGACCGTTGTATAGATCCATTATCTGACATTCTCAATCGATAATACAGTTTCCTTACAGCGTCTCACTTTATCCAGCATTAAGTTTCTGTAGTGTCTTAAAGGCTTCCTAACTCACATTGAAATGTTTGAAAAGGTTCAAGTATTTCAGTCCCCTGAGCTCACAACTACATAACAGCTGGTGAATGCCACTCTTCGTCAGCACAGTGTCAACACGTGCAGCGATCCCGGCTATGGACATGCATACATGCATAAGTGGATCATGACAACACAAGGTATGCATTCTGTCAGTGGTGGCACACATATTGTCGATTTATTAAACAGGCACACTCCGTTCATGGTCTGCCAGTTATATACAATACACGCATCACACTCGGTCATACAGCAAGCGTGGATACGTCTGTAGTATCAGGATCATGGTTGGGTTTAGGGACAGAAACACCATTCTCGTTATGTGATTTTAATTTACTAATCATAAACTTGTTTTACAGAAGAAAAGCACAGCTAGTAAAACAGGAAACAAAAGGACAACGAAATCGAAATATTTGCAGTTTTGATACTATATAGAACTATTTTCCCGTCACCAGGGATCTGTACTTCTCATCATATGGGTGGATGTCCAGCTGGGACAGAGTGGACAGAGATGACCAGCATCACGTGGACATGCTGTCGGAGAGAGACTGGTGACCCTGTTCTCTGGCTACCATGGCAGCTGTAGACCCGAAGTGGTTTCTCGCCTCCACGTCGACCATGTCCATCTGGATGATGTGGTTCACCATCCCCTCATTCCCTCCACTGCATGCAACATGGAGGACGTTGTCCCCATTCACTGTCAACACAGACACGTCACATTCTTCACTGACGAGAAAGTCAAACACCTTAATGTGCCCATGCTTTGCTGCCAACATGAGCGGTGTCATTCCCAGGAGTTCTGTACAGTTGATGTCGACCAAGTCGCGCAGTACCACGTACTCCACCATCGCCAGGTGGCCGCCGCTGCAGGCAACGTGCAGCAGGTTATCGCCTTCGTCATTCACGAGAGACACATCGGCTCCCCGTCTGATCAGAAGGTCCACCACGCTGACATAACCCATGCGTGCCGCGACCATCACTGCCGTCCGCCCGTACTGGTTCCTGGTGTCCAGGTTTACATGGTATTTGTACAGGATGTGCTTCACCATGTCCACGTGACCTCCATAGCAAGCCACATGGAGGATGTTGTCCCCGTGGTCACTGACCAGTGCCACATCGCCGCCTCTGCTGACCAGCAGGTCAAACACTCCTTTATGACCCCAGCGAGCGGCGATCATGACAGGGGTTCGGCCGTACTCGCCTCTGCTGTTGATGTCCACGACATGCTTGGACAGGACATACTTCACAATGTCGGCGTTGCCGCCGATACACACCACGTGGAGGATGTTGTTGTTGTAGTCATCCACCAGAGACACGTCACCACCTTTACTGATGAGCAAGTCCAGCACGTCTCTGTGTCCCCCCTCAGCTGCTGCCATCAGCGGCGTTCCCCCGTACTGACCTCCACTGTTGATGTCTACGATGTCCAGAGATATGATGCACTCCACCATCGTCACGTGTCCTCCAATACAGGCAACATGAAGGATGCTGTCGCCGTTGTCGTCAACACATCCCAGGTCACTTCCTTTACAGACAAGAAAGTAAAACACATCTCGATGTCCAGACTCGGCAGCTAGCATCACCGCAGTCCTCCCATACCTGCCTCTGCTGTTGATGTCAGCATTACTCAGTGAGAGGACGTATTTCACCATTTCTACATCATCTCCCAAGGAAGCGATGTGAAGGATGTTGTTACCGTCATCGTCCACCAAGGATGGGTCACCGCCTTTACGTACGAGGACATCAAACACTTGTCTGTTTCCCGCTAAAGCTGCCACCATGAGTGGCGTCCGTCCCCCCTTCCCCCGACAGTTGATGTCAAACAGATCCAGACTGAGGACGTGCAGCACCGTCTCATCATGGCCTCCAAGACAGGCTATGTGGAGGAGGTTGTTGCGATCGGCATCAGTCACAGACAAATCACACCCATGCTGTTTAAGTACACCAATTACTGTTGTGTGACCCCTCTCTGCTGCAACCATCAGCGGTGTGCGTCCATTGCTTCCTGTACTGTTGATTCCAGAAATGTTGTCGGAGATGACACGCCGTACAATCTCCACACATCCACCACGACACGCCATGTGAAGTATGTTATTGTTGCTAGTGTCTTTTAGCGACAGGTCAGCTCCTTTACTGACCAGCAAGTCGAACACACCTCTGTGACCTCCCTCTGCTGCAAGCATCAATGGCGTCTGTCCGTTGCCTGATTTACTGTTGATACGGGAGATGCGTTTAGAGAGAAAATGGAGCACCATGTTGTTACTTCCACCCCGACACGCCGCATGGAGGACGTTTTCACCATTAGAGTCCACAAGTGATACATCACCACCATTATCAACAAGTACTTTTAACACGCCCTGTGTCCATACATTGCCGCAATCATCACGGGTGTCCGCCCATTCATTCCCCGACAGTTGACGCCGACAATGTGCTTAGACAGGATGTGCTTGACCATAGGCACATTGTCTCTATGACAGGCCAGGTGTAAGATGGTGTCGCCTTGTTCGCTCAGTAGAGACAGGTCCGCTCCAACCCTCTCCAGGAGATCAAACAGACTAACATGTCCACCCCATGCCGCTTTCATGACTGGTGTTCGTCCAAACTTTCCTCGACTGTCTATATCTATAAAGTTTTGTGAAAGGATGTATTTCACTATCTCTATATTACCTCCCAAACAGGCGAAGTGGAGAATGTTGTCATCATCATTGCTCAAGCGAGTTACGTCACTTCCGTTTGTAACAAGGAAGTGGAACACCTCGTCATGTCCACACCTGGCTGCTAGCATCACCGGTGTCCTACCGACCCGCCCTTCAGCGTTCACGTCAGTTTGAGCACTGGACACCAGGTGTTGGACTTGTTGCAACTTGCCTCTTTTACAGGCGACGTGGAGGTCACTGTCAGAACTCGCCTCGCGTGGTGGAGGAGGGACATGATCGACATTGATGTGACCTTCACCTTCCGAAGATGGAGGAGGAGAGGGAGCGCTGTCTGTTGTCTCTGCAACATCAAATATATATTCAAACCATGCATGACTGTTTTGCCTAAAACCAAGCTGTAGCTCAGCTGACAACAGCTAAGACAGACACTTACAAGTTGAGTTTTTCTGATATGCAACTCTTGATATTAGTGGCATTATAACTTGACAAATTCAATGATATGTGAGCTGACATCACCTTGCGTAGAGTCGATGGTGACCATACCTTCAAGTCTGCCAGGATTCTCCATCACGATGTCGTATCTGCATTAGTCCTTCTGTCTGCAGCCAGACTCACAAAGATGAACGATGCTTGTAGTGCACTAAAACTGAATCAAAAGAAATTTAAAGCGAATCATTTCTACGAATGTACAATCATTGTTTGACAAAGGATGTTAAGCAGTTGACTTTCAGCCGACTGGGACCATTTCTAGATATGTTGGTGTCGGAGATGTGAGACCACAAAGTTATTTTCAAAATTGTCATTGTTGAAAATGTTCTAAAATAGGTACTTCACTTCGTATAAACTCCTGACTTTAAAATACATTGATGCCTCATGTCATACAAAACTGACGGCCTGTCCCCCCAAGTAAATCAGACTGCATTATTGATATAGATCTACCAGCACGTCCATGTTGGCAACCCTGCAGGTGATGGTGATACAGTATTTTCAAAACCTGGAAAGATGCATTATATTTGGGATATTAGTTTACCCATATACATGCCCTACTCTGCCGGTAATACATTTAATTATAAAAAGTAAGACCCGGTGGGTCAACACTGCCTCCTCCAACGCCCCTGCCAAACTACTGTTTCCTGTAAACACTCGGCTCTGGAGCGGACAATGCGGGGACAAAAACACGACCCACGCCATCGCGATATGACGTCACGGTGTCCGTCAGGCCTGATCACACCAACAATATCGGGGGAGCATATTGACAGTCAGCCAGTAGGCATTTATGTCACCGCAATCTTCTGTCCATGTTGTAGGCATTGACACAAACAATCAGCTGGATTCAGTTCTGACCTTGAAACGATCAAGGTCAAATTGGAATAATTTATCACGGTGACCTGGAACAGAATGATATGCCAAACCCTGCCTTAACACGTCAATCCTACCTTAACACGTCAATCCTGCCTTAACACGTCAACCATGCCTTAACACGTCAACCCTGCCTTAACACGTCAATCCTGCCTTAACACGTCAACCCTGCCTTAACACGTCTAGCATGCCTTAACACGTCAACCCTGCCTTAACACGTCAATCCTGCCTTAACACGTCAACCCTGCCTTAACACGTCAAGCATGCCTTAACACGTCAACCCTGCCCTGCCTTAACACGTCAACCATGCCTTAACACTGACCCTGCCTTAACACGTCAAGCAAGCCTTAACACGTCAACCATGCCTTAACACGTCAACCCTGCCTTAACAAGTCAACCCTGCCTTAACACGTCAACCCTGCCTTAACACGTCAAGCATGCCTTAACACGTCAACCCTGCCTAAACACGTCAACCCTGCCTTAACACGTCAAGCATGCCTTAACACGTCAACCCTGCCTTAACACGTCAAGCATACCTTAACACGTCAACCCTGCCTTAACACGTCAACCCTGCCTTAACACGTCAAGCATGCCTTAACACGTCAATCCTGCCTTAACACGTCAACCCTGCCTTAACACGTCAAGCATGCCACCATGTGTTTCATCGTTCCATGCTAACAACAGACATAGAGGACAACATGGAACATTCACAAGAAATACGAGTATCAATACAACACAGGATTTCATATACGACTAAGTTGTGAATTACGAAAAGAATAAGTCACGATCACCGTACCTGTAGCGCCCAACTCTGTCCCAGGACAAACTCCCCCGACGGTCTAACACAGGACAGGTGACAGGTTGTACGTATTGTATATACACGTGCAAGCCTGGGCATGGCACACCTGAACGTGAAGACTGACAATGTGTCCGGTAAGTATGTTAAGTACAGTATGTTGTGTTGGTACTGCTGGATATGTAGTACCGCCAGCTATGAGGTAACCATTACTCTGTTACTGTTGTAAGTATGCCAAGTACAGTGTTGGTAATGCTGGATATGTAGTACCGCCAGCTATGAGGTAACCATTACTCTGTTACTGTTGTAAGTATGCCAAGTACAGTGTTGGTAATGCTGGATATGTAGTACCGCCAGCTATGAGGTAAACCATTACCTGTTACTGTTGTAAGTATGCCAAGTACAGTGTTGGTACTGCTGGATATGTAGTACCGCCAGCTATGAGGTAACCATTACTCTGTTACTGTTGTAAGTATGCCAAGTACAGTGTTGGTACTGCTGGATATGTAGTACCGCCAGCTATGAGGTAACCATTACTCTGTTACTGTTGTAAGTATGCCAAGTACAGTGTTGGTACTGCTGGATATGTAGTACCGCCAGCTATGAGGTAACCATTACTCTGTTACTGTTGTAAGTATGCCAAGTACAGTGTTGGTACTGCTGATATGTAAGTACCGCCAGCTATGAGGTAACCATTACTCTGTTACTGTTGTAAGTATGCCAGGTACAGTGTTGGTACTGCTGGATATGTAGTACCGCCAGCTATGAGGTAACCATTACTCTGTTACTGTTGATGCCAAGTACAGTGTTGGTACTGCTGGATATGTAGTACCGCCAGCTATGAGGTAACCATTACTCTGTTACTGTTGATGCCAAGTACAGTGTTGGTACTGCTGGATATGTAGTACCGCCAGCTATGAGGTAACCATTACTCTGTTACTGTTGTAAGTATGCCAAGTACAGTGTTGGTACTGCTGGATATGTAGTACCGCCAGCTATGAGGTAACCATTACTCTGTTACTGTTGTAAGTATGCCAAGTACAGTGTTGGTACTGCTGGATATGTAGTACCGCCAGCTATGAGGTAACCATTACCTGTTACTGTTGTGGCATGCCAAGTACAGTGTTGGTACTGCTGGATATGTAGTACCGCCAGCTATGAGGTAACCATTACTCTGTTACTGTTGTAAGTATGCCAAGTACAGTGTTGGTACTGCTGGATATGTAGTACCGCCAGCTATGAGGTAACCATTACTCTGTTACTGTTGATGCCAAGTACAGTGTTGGTACTGCTGGATATGTAGTACCGCCAGCTATGAGGTAACCATTACTCTGTTACTGTTGATGCCAAGTACAGTGTTGGTACTGCTGGATATGTAGTACCGCCAGCTATGAGGTAACCATTACTCTGTTACTGTTGTAAGTATGCCAAGTACAGTGTTGGTACTGCTGGATATGTAGTACCGCCAGCTATGAGGTAACCATTACTCTGTTACTGTTGATGCCAAGTACAGTGTTGGTACTGCTGGATATGTAGTACCGCCAGCTATGAGGTAACCATTACTCTGTTACTGTTGATGCCAAGTACAGTGTTGGTACTGCTGGATATGTAGTACTGCCAGCTATGAGGTAACCATTACTCTGTTACTGTTGTAAGTATGCCAAGTACAGTGTTGGTACTGCTGGATATGTAGTACTGCCAGCTATGCCACAACCATTACTATGTTGACAACACAGTTAAAATGTTGTTGTTGTGTAGAGAATGCGGGAATATGAATGTTACGTATACTGTGTTACTCACCAAGTGATAATGTAAAGTAGTAAATTAACTCGTCACCAAATCGAAGCGACTGTCGGTCCTTGTCGTCACGACTGTAATGTAATCAGTTTTAGCATTGTCATTTAAAACTAACTGACAAGTGATGATACCAAGGCTGTAGGCCTAACACCACGATAGACATGGAGTTTTAGTACACGTCTATTAAATACAGATGCACATCAATATCTTATATACTGGATTCACCTATGGCTTCTAAATATGTTCCACGAGCAGGCAGTTTTCAAGATCCCGTCCTGTAGCAGTTTTTTCCCCAGATCATTATCATTATTATAAAATATAGCGCCGAGTTCCAGCTTGGCTGCTCACAGGCACTTTTTGTTTTCCCTCGATCATAGGATGTCAATCTCAACGACACATGGTATTCTCAATCTCAACTCCCTGGGGACCATACTAGGCAAGTTAATGTGGCTTTCCCATCCTTACGAGATAGTAACCAAACACACGCTCCGATTAAAAGATCTTTATTTGCAAAACCTTTTTTGTATGGAAATTAAGCAGCTCTGGAACACATAATTACACAATAAATAACAGGTGTAACTATCAGTTAAAGTCTTTAATTTTACCCGATAATCATATCTATCATCCATTAAGATCTATCATCCACACAATCAGACACAGAAATCATGCTGCACAATACAATGGCGTGATACGTCATCCAAGGGCAATGTCCCCTTGTCTAGACATTAGCCACATTATAGTTACATAGTCTGTAAACATACGTATAAATGTACATTTCGAAGGAATAAATATAGATAATTATGCACAGAATGTGTTCATTAAAGTTGAAATTCCCATGCCGTCCTACACATATATTACAGTTTAATGCTTACCTTTGTGCTGATATCAAGGCGCCATTCGAAACTGCCACACGAAGAAAATGTCATTTTCATCAACATGACTGAAAAATACATGGAGAATAAATACAGTTTTAGACATTAGATACATACTGAACACACACATACACACACACACACACACACACACGCACACACGCATGCACGCACGCACGCACACATATGAGCACATGTACATGCGCACACAGTTACAGGGACGCGCGAATCTGAATCCGTACGTTACACTCGCTCACGACATCTCACGAAACAGTGCATGCAATATTGCCAACCCACGTATTTTATTCATTCATTTACCAGAAGTGATAAGTTGTTCAGCTAAATGATTATATATAATGATTATATGATTTTATATAAATATAGTCACAGTGTTAAAACGTCGGGTGAAGTTAAAACAAATATATTCAACGCATATCTCCTTCGTCTTATCAGTATATGGTTTCCGTTAATGATTTGCGATCAAAGGGAGATAATTCACGTCATTTACAGCGCCAAACATGACAAGACCATATGATCAGTGTCATTGTCCAAGGAAGTTAACGATGTTATTTATTATTCCGTGGTATGTAGCTGTCTCTCTACATGAAGCGACAAAAAGATAGCATGACCGAGCTAAACTAACCACTGATCTGATGTTATGGATTTCTTTTTTTATTTAAATCATATTTATTCTCCAAATTGAATGGGATTGGTCGACAGGCACAGCCAATTTGAACACTTCTCCATAAAGTTTACATATCATATTTAGATACCTGTGTTTATTGTTGAAAGTATTCAGCCACAGCTCACAAGTCAC